CTGCAAATCCCAAGGTGACCCATGTACCTCGCTGGGTGGAGCTTAATGACTTCTTAAGCACTACAAATAATTCCCCCGTTTTAAAATCAATTTGCCTAATACAATTAAATGAACCTCGTTGACCCTTCAGGTTCAAAAGCCATCAATTTGATTCATACATTAGCATTTTAATATGGAAACGGCCACCATAGTCTCCCAAAGCCTTCTCACCACGGTCTGCGGGATGTGGTATGTAACGGGAAGCAGGACAGAGCATTGTCTTTCAAATCGCTCCAGAATTCGCTGTAAGAATTGCTGTTAAAATATTTCTTCCTCAGAAAAAGGAACTCTCCTGCACTGTTGGTGGGAGTGCAAACTGGTCCAACCACTGTGGAGAGCTGTGTGGAGATTTCTGGACCTACTAAACATAGAGCTTCCGTAGGATCCAGCCATTCCACTCCTAGGTATTTACCCAAAGGACACAGAAACATCCATTCCAAAGAGCACCTGCACCCCTATGTTTATAGCAGCACTGTTTACAATAGCTAAGCTTTGGAAACAACCCAAATGCCCAAAAATAGATGACTGGATCAAGAAGATGTGGCACATACACACCATGGAATATTACTCAGCATTCAAAAAAGATAAACACATGCCATTTGCAGCAACATGGATGGCATTGGAAGGGATCATGCTCAGCGAAATAAGCCAAAAAGAAAAAGAAAAATACCAGATGGTCTCACTCATAACAGGAATCTAGAAAACTTAAATAAGGGACCAGGAAAATGAATAACTATAAGAAAGTGAAAATCAGAATCAACAAAAAACTATGAACCAGAGACACTTTTGGGGGGGTGGGGGGCGGGAGGGGAGGGATTGGGATAAGAAAGGGGGGGTTGCAACTGTATGGGGAATATAAAAATAAAATTTATTATTAAAAAAAAATTTCTTCCTCAAGTATTCATATTTTGTAGGGTCTTTGTAGGGTCTCCTGCATGCATTCTCCAGAGAAGGAGTTGATGGCCCCTCCAGTTGACGGCTCCTAACACTGGCAACTACTTTGTTGTTTGGGGGGATTGGGTTTTGCTGGACACAGTTTAGGTGACCCCAACTTTGTTGGCAACACCCAAAGCCTCACGGTCAGGAGCCAGCGGGACAGACGCCCTCCCCTCTCCCTCCGCCCAGGTTGGGGTGTGACCTTGGCCACGTCAGGGTTGTGGAGCTTCCTCACAGCCTGTTGGATCTGGTGCAGGTTGGCCTTGATGTCCACGCTGAGCACAAGCGTGTTGTCTTCTGTCTTCTTCAAGGGCAACGCAGGGACTTGGTGGCCTAGTGGCCAAGCGTGCTTGGGTGCCTTCCGAGCCACAGAGTCTCGGCCTCGGGAAGGCGGGTGACATGTGGATCTGTTGTCTGCACACTGTTCTGTCCCCTTTCCCTGACCAATGTCCTGCTATTTTCACTTGACAATAGCGCTTGGAAGATTTTTAGGCACCTTAAATACATCGACATCATCTTTTATAATTTTGTGATTTTTGTGTTATCTCAGACTTTCCCATTCCAAGATTATTTTTTACATCGCCCATGTGCTGGTATTTTTATGACTTTTTTCCATTAACATCTTTGATATCGCTGGGATTTATTTGGGTATAGTTAAGAGATTTAACTTAATTTCTTCCAGACGTCTCTAGTTTTCGCCAAGTCACTTACAGAATGTTTCATGCTTTCCCACTCAGTTTACTTTTTGATTTGACACTCAGGTCACGTAGCCTCTTCTCTCCCTGGGAAGTGAGTATGAATTTCCTTGGAAACCAGGTAGTTCGTTCCACATTATCCCCTTCCACAGCTCTTCTCCCTCCCACCCAGCCCTGTGCCAGGACTTTCACACAAAGGGTTTCCTCTTGCCTGGAAGACTCCTCAAGTTTCCCCTCTCTGTTTTGTTTTATTTTTTTAATTTTTATTTATTTATGCATCCAAGAGCTGGGGTGCAGGCCAGAGATGTGGGGGGTGAGAGGATTCACCAGAGAGAGAGTGGAGAGCAGGACAGGCAGGTGCACTGAAATCCACTGCTGAGGGGAGCAGGGGGAGACAGGAGAGGTCTGCTGCGTCCTGTGGGCAGCTCCCTGGCCAGAGATCCAGCTTGTGCTGCAGAGGCTGCAGATAGCTTGACAGCGCTGAGACTTAACCCCTGCGCCACCAGGGAGGCCCTTCCCCTCTCAGTTTAAACGTGACTTTCTCTAGGGTGTCATGTTATCTATCCCCAAGTCACCCCCAAATCACTGCATTTCTTCCACCTTTGTGCCACTGTTGCCCACAGTGAGAAGTGAGAAGACAAAGACCCAATTCATGTTGGTCACTTCAGGGTCCAGCGTCTACACTGGGACCTAATAGACAGATGTTTATTGAATGAGTGCGGCGTCTGTGTTGCCCCTCGGATGAATTCTCCTCATGCAGCGGGAGAGAACGACAGCCCATCTCTTACGGGGCTCCTCAGGGCCTCCTGCTAATAAGTGACCACTCAGTGGCCTGCCCCTCCACGCTGACTGTACAGAGCCACTTGCAGGGGACGCGGGTGGTTTTGGCCTTTATACTGGGATGCTCTGACTTATTAATTTTCAGGCTTACAGTTAGAAGGTTTTTGACCCAATTTCCTCTTTTCCCCCTGACTTGACCCCCTTGGAGAGCAGCGTGCTGCCGTTCGCACGCAGAGAAGCTGCCACTTCCACTCAGGATGTCGCTTGATTTTTTCCCACTTGAAGTCAGCCTCAGCCCCTGTGGAATAAACAATATTGTCCTTATAAAATGCAAGATATTCCACTTGGGGATTTCTGTAGAACCAAATTCTGGCTTGGGCGACTCTAGCTGATCATAAAAGAAGTAGAAACCAGCAGGGAAGAGAAAGAAGAAAAAGAAAAATGTAGGTTATTAGCAGAATGTTTTTCTCCTCTCGAATAATTTTAAATTCCAAAAAAAAGTTTAAAAATTCACATGCAACATTATTATCAACATAATTTAACATTCAATTAATTATACACTTGGGGTATTGTTCTGAGATTATTTTAATTAACAAATAACTAGGTTTGGTAATATCTTGGCTGAATATCTATGCCCTCGAGGAGAGGAAGTTGAATAGTTGAAATAGCACAGCCTGCTCGCTGCACACTGAGATTATTGAGTCTTGGGTCTGCCCTTCCTGGCCTCGCCCAAGGACAGAAATGAACAAAACAATGGCTTTCTTATTATTTAGCATTCAATTTTCTGCCTGGCAAAGACTGTGTGGCTATACCAGTTCGCATATCATTTTAATTTTAAATAAAAGATTATTATATTTAGTATTCAATGCATGTTACTCTTAATTTCCTCCTGTTTAAAAAAAACTTAATTGTGTAAAATTTTCAAGTATTTATAAAGTACACAAAATAGTAAATTGAATATCATGTACCCATCGCTCAGCTCTGACAATTACCAATATTCTGCTATCTTGTGTATCCTGTAACTTCACCCACTCTCCACACACTTAGTTATTTTTAAATTAAAATTTTCATATATTAAGATGTACAAATATTAACAGTACAACTTTGACAATGGATACATGTGTATAACCAGCATCACAACGAAAATACAGAACACTTCCATCACCCAAATAGCTCCTTCTCAGGCCTCCCTGGCTGGAGTAGGGGTTAAGTCTCAGACTATGAAGCTGTCCGTAGCCACTGCAGCACAAGTTCGATCCCCAGCCGGCCAGGGAGCTGACCCACATGGTTCAGCAGACCTCTCCTGTCTCCCTGCTGCTCCCCTCTGCAGTGTATTTTAGTAGATCCATCCACCTGTTCTGCTCCCCACTCTGTCTCTGGTGAATCCTCTCACCCCCCCCCACACCTCTGGCCTGTACCCCAGTTCATGTATACATAAATAAATTTAAAAAAAAAAATAGTTCCTCCTCTCTTCAGGTCAAATCTATAATCTTCTCTCCCACCCTCCTGGCGACCATGATTCTGATATTTTTTGTCAATATAGATTTTCCTGTTCTCCATAAACACAGAATCATCAAGTATGTACTGATTTCTAGCTTATGCTTCTTCATGATCAGGAGTGTCACTCATTTTATTGTATCATTAATTCATTCCTTTCTATTGCTGAGGAGTGTTCGTGATATGGGTCTATCATACTTTAATTCATTCTCCTATTGATAAACATTTGTTTGCTACCAGTTTTAGTTGTTGTGAATAAGGCTGTTATGAACAATCTTACACAAGTCTTTTGTGCATTATTTTCATTTCTTTTTAAGTAAAATGCCTACGATGGAATAACCAAGTCAAAGGATAAAGTCATGTTCAACTTTATATGCAACTTTTCCAAAGAGACTATACTATTTTTTACATTTCTTCCAGTAATCCGTCTTACCATAACAGTGTCGTCAGTAGTCTATTACATTTGCGCTTTTCTACTGGGTGTGTAGTAGGTTCTCATTGTGGTTTTGATTTCCATTTCTCTGATGACTGATAACATTATACATTTTTCATGTGCCTATTGGCCAATGGTGTGTCTTGCTTTGTCTGTTCAAGTGTTTAGCCTCTGTGTTTAGAAGCAACAGTGAGGAGAGCAGATTCCAAATAGATTGTATTTTACATACCCTGGCTCCCACAGTCTGCATACAAGCTGCCCAGGAACACACACCTTGCCACCTGCCCAGGGCAGCGTGGCAAGAGATGGGCAGCAGCTATGTGGTAAGATCTGAAATGGATCAAAATTAACTGCACTTCGCCACCCAACTTCCCAAAGGTGTTGCTGGCCTTCCGTAGACTGCAAGAGCTCCAATATATTCACAGCAGACACATTCTGCCAGTGTGATTTTGTCTAGGTGGGGAGAGATTTCTGTTGCTTCCCAACCCTTCGTCTTCCCAGAATCTTCAAAACTTATGTTAATATTTAATAACTTATTAATAAGCCTGAGGTACCACTCTATCATTTATATTTAATCAAATTTTAACTCAAAAGAACGAATCCTGCTCATTTCATTGTCTTTAAACCTTTTTAATCAGCCACACACAGGCATATTTTCCAGGTCAGACATAGGTTACAAGAGGATCACCAGGGACACTGGGAGACGCGGCCACCAGTTAAGGGAATAAGATAAAAAATTCATGTTTTCTGAATTCAAAACTCAGACATGAGGCCTGACCAAAAAAAATTGAGAATGATGTGAAAACTCTTATAAATACATAAAAATTAAATTCAAATACATTATAAATTTAATACATTGACTTTACTATAAAAAAAGGAAAGCTCTAAACAGCACTGTCCCCAGAAAATGAAGTATATGTCCCCTCACACACGCTGGAAGAAGAGAGACAGGGAGGCATTGAACGCGGAATGAATTGTTACCAACTTTCACTCTTCGCATGTTTTTCTGATCATGACAACATAAATAAATGTCCCATAAAGAGATCAGTACATTTTTTTCACATTTAATATATATACTAACAGCGGTGAACTAACATCATGCAAGAGCACACTTCACAGGTTCAATCAAATCTGTAATCACTTGTAACAAAAACAAATCACAACAATCAAAACCAAACACAAGTAATAAAAAACAAGTACAACGTAGAAAATACAAAAAAAATGTCATTTATTTGCCTTATTTACCAAATGGAGAGCTACAAAGATATATACATTTCTGATCCAATGCTAAAATCGGCATTTTCTTTGCCTTATATTTATCACCTACATTTTACACATTTGTCTACTTTTGAATCACATTTTCTTCATGATCACGGAAGCTCTGTAATATAAGACAGTCTTCAGATATTTGAGTAATAGCGATCGCGGTTTTGAAAGTCCCTGTGAGCATATCTTGCGTAAGTCTTGTTATGTGGAATCCTTCCAAAAGGCTCATGATCGTTGAAACAAGATTCAAAAACTTCATCCACCGCCTTTTGAGCCTCTTCTCTGCTGACATTCCTAACAGCCAGGATAGAAAGAATGGCTCTGTCGCGCACGCACGTCTAAGGAGCAAGAAAAGTCATGTGGCTTTCATTTTATATGAAAAATCATCATGCAAAAACACTTTACATATATAACATCTGAAGCACAATTGAAATTAATTTCTTCTCATGTTTTTTATTCATTTCTGTCATCCCAAAGGAGAAATCTAACTCAAATTATGGCCCATGTTTAGCTCCAAAATTATTTAGGTATAAATAAGACTCATACCACTGTTTCATCTTCTCCGAAAACATAAGCAGAGGTCATGAAGTTCTAGGCAGTGTCCGCCAGATAAAAACTCCCAATTTGCAAAATCACCAAAACAAAGTCGATAAATAAGGTTGATTGAATTTTTAATAAAACTTATCAATTTAAAATATACTCGACACATCTCTTCCTTAAATTTCCAGGTGACCAATGCTAGGGTGAGTCCCTTTCGTGAGGGGTGCACTGGAAGCAACAGAAACCACACGCAGAAACACATAAAATTTGAAGGTGGGCCTCCTGGTGGCGCAGCGGGTTGAGCACAGCGCTGTGCAGCTGTCTGCAGCCTCTGCAGCACGGGTTCGATCCCAGCAAGGAAGATACCCACATGGCATGGGAAACCTCTCCTGTCTCACCCGCTGCTCCCCCTCAGCAGTGTCTTTGGTCCGTCTGCCTGTTCTGCTCCCCACTCTCTCTGGTGAATCCTCTCACCCTCCCAAGCCTCTGGCCTGTACCCCAGTTCTTGTATAAATAAAAATAAATCTTAAAAAAAAAGAAAAAAAAATTATTTAAAAAAAAATTTTTTGAAGGTGTCTGGGTTTTTCAGAGAAAAAAAGCTGTTCCCCCACCTCCCAGGGCTATTCCTGTTCTTTGATATTAAAGTTCTCTTCCTAAATTACCTAAGTCACACAGTAACAGATTAGAATTTCTCAATATTCTGTTTTAAGAAACAGTCGGTCCTGCCATTCTAATTCTTAGAGAGCTTTTGATCCACTTTTTTCTCCTCTGCCCATAGTAAACAATGTTTAAGTGACTTTTAACCTTTTTATCAAAAAATAACCACACACTCTGCATCCTGTCAGTCACTGATTCTAGCTGAATCATCTTGCCTGGTTTTGGGCCTTTGGTTTTATTTTCTCTTGTTTCCCTTCCGTGGATCACAATCAAGTCTGGGCCAACGCAAAGCTTGGCTACTGCATCCCACAGCCCTCAAAGGCACATTAATCCACAGCCAGGACCCGGTGGCATGAGAGCTGCTACTTTCTGTCTCAAGAACAACGCTACAGTTTCAAAACATAAGTCCAGGACTGCCAGGACAAAAGTAAGACAGACTGTGATTTCACCTCCATCCCTTATCTGCTCCTCTCCAGACACGTCCTAAAGCAAGAGCACAGCTCTCTTCACTGCTAAACTCTCTCCGTCAGTCACACAGCTTGCCCATAATTATAAAGTGAAAGTAAATCCCACCTATTGACTTAAACTTTGTATTCGTCCCATATATGTAGTTCTTTCAAATTTCAGTTATGAAATCTACTTCTCATGTCCTTCTTATTCCACTCGAGGCACTCTTATCAGTTATTTCACGCCAGTTTTTACCTGATGGTGTTGTTTCAATCCAAAATGTAGCCTGAATATTTCATTGATAAGTGAGCAGTCTCCACTGAGGTTAGCAGCTCGCACCTGTCACGACCACAGAAGGCAAATGAAAAGAAAGTAAGTGTTCACACTCGAAGCCTTTAAATCAACTGACAGTTTTCAAAAGTCAAAGAATATGAATGCAGCGTGTTTTTCTGAGGACAGAGTATCTATAAGACTTTTATAAAGAATATTAACTCTACTGACTCAGTAAAGTTTTTAAGCTAAGGGGGAAAAAAACAGATATCCAAGAGCTATGCCAGAAAGTGACAAACACACTGGCCTGGGAAGCATCGCCCGCCAGACAGAATTTTCAAAACCTCAGCCTTCAAGTCTATGCTGCTCTCTGCAAGATTCCAGAAGGACTTTAAGAAAGTATTCTTCCGGGCCTCCCCTGGTGGCGCAGTGGTTGAACGCTGGGCTGCGAGGCTGCCTGCAACCTCTGCAGCACCGGTTCATTCTCCAGCCACCGGCGAGGGTCCCACAAAAAAAAAAAAAGAAAGAAAGAAAGTATTCTTCCAAGGGTTCTCAAAGTGAGTTTCAATGAGAGCTTAAAACAGAATCCATCAGTAGCTGCACTTTGAGCACTTTGAGCCCTGGCCCAAACACTGGAACTTTCAAGACCTTCCCTTCAACTTGAGTAAGTTAAGTGAATGACCACCAAAGTTTGGACTGTCCTAAAAAAAAGTTAAGTGTGCAAAACACGAAGGATCAAGGACATCCTGGGGCAATGCTCTGAGCACAATAGCTTGAAATTAGGACATTTTTTCTAATTTCCTGTATTTTAAGACAAAAAGCAGCTTTAATAGGTGAAAAAGCCTTAGAACTATGCACATAGATTCTACAGTCAACCCAGCCCCATTTTTTCTAATTCATTGCAAACAGAATGACACATTCCTTGTCACTTCGTCAGCAACATGGCCTGGTTTGGTTCCTCTGAAGAGCACCAAGTATTTAACACACTTTAACTAGCTTGCAGGCATTCATTTTCATAACCCCACGAGAGAGATCTACTAAAAACACAGATTTCAGTCTCGTCTCCAAATAATATAAGTTATCGTTAGATGCAGTAGGGTTGCTTATTCATTTCAAGGGAAAGAGAAAAATCTGTTATAAAGTATAAGGTTGCGGGGCCTCCCTGGTGGCGCAAGGGGTTAAGCACCACACTATGAAGCTGTCTGCAGCCTCTGCAGCACAAGCTCAATCCCCGGCCGGCCAGGGAGTGACCCACATGGCACGGCAGACCTCTCCTGTCCTGTCTCGCCTGCTGCTCCCCTCAGCAGTGTATTTCAGTCTGTCTGTTCTGCTCCCCACTCTGTCTCTGGGGAATCCTTGCATCTGCAACTCTGGTCTGGACCCCAGTTCTTACACGTATAAATAAATCTTTAAAAAAAAAAAAAGAAAGTATAAGATTGTAAGTATTAGTTTTTTTAACTTCTCAGCACACTGTACCCTTTAATCAATGAAATGCAACTACGAAACCCATATGCCTCCATAGAAGGAGAAATATATGTTTGTACTTCTGAGAAAAATCCAAAGTGCTTAATAACGAACATCTTTTTGTATTGTATTTTTTTAAAGATTTATTTACTTATGCACACGAGAGCTGGGGTACAGGCCAGAGATGCCGGAGGGTGAGAGGACCCACCGGAGACAGAGTGGGGAGCAGAACAGGCAGACTGACTGAAATCCACTGCTGAGGGGAGCAGCAGGCGAGACAGGAGAGGTCTGCTGTGCCCTGTGGTTGCTCCCTGGACTGCCGGGGATCAAACTTGTGCTGCAAAGGCTGCGGATTGCTTCATAGTGTGGTGCTTAACCCCTTGCACCACCAGGGAGGCCCTGTATTATATTTTTTTTTTTAAAGATTCATTTATTTATTTATGCAAGCACTGGGTACAGTCAGAAGCGCAGGAGGGTGAGAGAATTCACCAGAGCCAGAGCAGGGAGCAGAACAGACAGACTGATGAAGTACACTGCTGAGGGGAGCAGCGGGCGTGGCAGGAGGGGTTTGTCGCACCATGTGGGACCCTCGCCCGGTGGCCAGGAATCGAACTGGCGCTGTAGAGGCTGCAGGCAGCTTCCCAGCCTAGCGCTCAACCGCTGCGCCACCAGGGGAGGCCCCCTGTATTATATTTTTGACACTAAATGTTGCACCACAGGGCAAGCAAGGAGCTTCACCTACAGAAGGCAGCAAAGAAAATGAGGAAGAACCAGGTTATATTCCTGCCTCTGCCACTTACTAGCTGTGGAATCTAAATAACTCCTTCTACATATATAAACGTTTTCAGTTCAGGGGATTATTGAGATGATTAAATAAAACCCAGCAGCAGAAAAGAGAGCGCACACAGCTCTCATAAATGTTGTACATTTTCACATAATAGAATTTATTCCATAAGTAAAATAGTTTAATTAAGTTTAATTCAACTTAAAGTTGCCATCACTATTGTTAGGGTTTAGAGGTTATATGTAAGACAATTCTAAAAAGAGACTTAAAGTGTCTCTTGTTGATTCTCAAAAATTATATTCACAAAAGAACACCTGGACCCCTATGTTTATTGCAGCACTATTTGCCATAGGCAAAACCTGGAAACAACCCAAATGCCCAAAAATAGATGATTAGATCAAGAAGATGTGGTCCATATACACCATGGACTATTACTCAGCATTCAAAAAAGATAAACTCATGCCATTCGCAGCAACATGGATGGAGCTAGAAGGAATGATGCTCAGTGAAATAAGCCAGAAGGAAAAAGAAAAAGATCAGATGGTTTCACTTATAGAGGGAACCTGCATTTTACATCAGTGTAAAAAAATAACAACAGTACACAACACAACAAAGCAAAAACAGACAATTGTAAACCAGAGACATCCTGCAGGGGAGGAGGCAGTAGAGGGGTCAGAGGGAGGGAGGGAGGAGCCCAGGGGACTGAGGTGATGGTGCACGGGGGCCTTGGGGAAGGAAACTCTACAGGGATGACACCTGAGGGGGTGGGGGAAGCACACATTGTTTAAAAATGAACAATGATGTAAAAAACAAAAAAATTTAAAAATGAAATTTTTTTTAATTACATTCAATAGCTAAAAACAAAAACTCAAGGCTAGCATGGAACTAGGACGGCAGGAAATGCAAATACACTTAACTAAATTCTACTTGAACAAAAGGCTCGGAATGTTCCGAGTGGGCAGAGCAGCTTCAGCAAACTCACCTCTGAGCAGGCCAGATGTTTGACATCGGTGAACCAGTTGACATGAGCTCGACAATGGTCAAACGCGTGGATGAGCTCATGGGTGACCACGCGGTTCATGTGGGCCTGGCTGCTGATGTTATTCTGGCACAAGACAATCTAGGAGACAGCAAAGGAAGAGAAGCCTGGTTACTTCTGAAGTCCGCTCTTAGTCTGTAGACCCCCCCTTCTCTCTCACATGAGGGGGCCCATCTTCTAACACACCCCTATCCCTCCTTCATCAACCCCTCGAAGGCCTCAAGGCCCAGTCCCAACTACACAGCCCCAGTGAGCCTCCCAGTGACCAACTTCTCCCCTCTCCGTCCTCCAGACAGAGCAGCACTCAGGCTGAAGACATTTATCCACACACCTTCCTCGCAGGGCTGTTTCTACCACGGTGTCTAGGGTGCCAGCATTATGCTAAGAGAGCGGACTGAGGAATGAAGCAGACAGATTCAAATTCTAGCCCCATTTCTTACTAACTTGGTGACCTTGGGAAAGTCTCTGTTCCTCAGCTGCCTGGACTCTAAGCAGTAGATAAACAGAATACTGACTTCATAGACTTGTGAGAACTAAATGAGAATATATGTGAAACACTTATTATTGAGAAACTTTTTTTTTTTAAAGATTTATTTATGCATACAAGAGCTGGGGTGTAGGCCGGAGGTGCGGGGGGTGAGAGGACTCACCAGAGACAAAGTTGGGAACAGAACAGGCAGACGACCGAAATATACTGCTGAGGGGAGCAGAGAGCGTGACAGGAGAGGTCTGCCGTGCCATGTGGGTAGCTCCCTGACCGGGGATCAAATTCATGCTGCAGTGGCTGTGGACAGCTTCACAGTGCTGAGACTAACCCCTGCGCCACAGGGAGGCCCAAGATGGGAATATCCTTGACAGAACAACACACGCAAAGGGCAAAGGAAGACCAAAAGAACAGAGCATTTGAGAAGCTAACAGCAGGCCCATATGGAAAGTGGGGTAAGCCCTGAGCTAAAACTGGAAGAAATGAGATAAGACTGATAAGGCCAAACCAGGAGATGCCCTCTGTACCCTGAGAGCAATGGGGTGTCACTGAAAGGGGGTGATGAAACGGGTAGGTGTGCTTTGCTTTACTTTGCTTTTACCCTTTGGCTCTAGTTGGAAGGCTCAGCAGATGATCCACACTGGACACAGAGAGACCAAGTGAAAGCAAATGAAATATTCTGGGCAAGAGGAAAGGATGCCTGAGCTAGAGTAGTGGGAGCTGATAACAAGGGATTTAGGTGCTAGTGGATAAAATTTAGTGATGAATAGAATATGAGAAGGAAATCAGAGCTATCAAAGATGTTTTCTAGATTTCTGACTTGGGTAACAGGTTGATGACACCACTCACTGAGCCATGCAAAACTAAAAGACCAGGTGAGTAGAGATGGGAGATAGTTAAAAAATCATTACTTTGGATTTGGATATGTCAGGTGTGAGATGCCTTTAAGACACCCGAGCAGAGGTGGGTGTTAGAGGGACACGTGGACATGTGGAGGTGGATTTCGAAAGAAAGCTCTGATCTAGGAAAATAAAGGCGATCCCCTTGGCAAAATACAGAGTGAGAAAAGGAGATTCAGCAACAAGGATTAAAAGATTTCAACATTCTGAGAAGGGCTGACAGTGGAAGGCAAGCCAGCGAAGGCGGAACCGGAAGAGTGCCGAGTGCTGGAAACCAAGAAAGGCAAGTGCCTGCCATTATCTCAAGAGGCAAGCAAATGCACAGCGCACGGCCTGGCGACTTTGCTCTTTAGCAGACAGCCAGCAGCACCTCTTGCCCCTGTGCACCAGGAGAGAAGATGAAGAATACTGCAGCAGCTTTCTTCCTATCAAAACTGGAAAGAATCGATATTAGATTGGGCAAAGTATAGCACAGACATACAGTGGAATACTACACAACAGTGAAACTGATAAGCCAGTGGAGACAGGACACTGTGGAAGAATCTCACAAAGCTAAGCAAAAGAACCAGGTTTTACAGAAGACTGTCTAGTGTCTGTTCCGTAAAACTACAAGTATTACAAATCTCAAAGTATTCCAGTATGAGACTTAAAAACAGGCGCCTAAATTACACACTGTTGGACTGTATACATGTGTGTTAAAAAGCACTCTGAAGGGCCTCCCTCGTGGTGCAAGGGGTTAAGATGCAACCTATGAAGCTATCCGCAGCCACTGCAGCACAAGACATAACTCACAAATCTTATTTAAATAATGTGATCTTAAAATTGGTAAAAATGGTTATGAAACACTCTCACATATACCAAGAGGGCTACTGCCTGACACTTCAGAGGATATCAACTGTGCTTTTTTAAAGGTCATTTTCAGTTAAGATCCCTGGCCAGGGAGCAACCCGCATGGCACGGCAGACCTTCCCTGACTCACCCGCTGCTCCCCTCAGCAGTGTACTTCGGTCAGTCTGCCCGTTCTCTTCCCCGCTCTGTCTCTGGTGAATCCTCCCACCCTCCACACCTCTGGCCTGTACTCCAGTTTGGGGAAGAAAAAAAAAAGCACTCCGAAATGCAGGCAATACTGGCCCACAGTATAAGGAAGGGAGATGGAATGTAGCCCGAGAGGGACACACAGCTCCCTGAAGTCCTGACAATGTTCTATTTCTCAGTTCACAGGGGTCCATTTAATCAAGAGGACTGAAGATTTTTACTCTTCTGTCTACATGAGATACTGCACAAATATAAATTTTAATAAAAAAAAAAAAAGACTGCCCTGTTGTGTTCAACACTGCTGGAAAGTAAGATGAAGGTTCAAAATGCCCACCCTACGTAACGCCAAGAGGAGAGGAACTTACCCAGACCCATTCTGAGAGCTACAGATACTGTGATTCCAGATTTACGAAGGAGAAGACGGAGAACAAGGAAAACAATCTGGCCAAGCCCCCAGCTCATAAGCGAGGGAATTAGGATTTGCGCCCAAGTCTATCTGATCGTAAACTCTGACCCCCTCGTGCCAGTGCTATCTTACTTCTTCCCAGGAGTACCGAGCAACAGCTATAAATAACCAAACTATCAATAAAAAATTCCCAGCAGGAAAACTTACGTGTAGTTCCATGTGGGTCATGTACTCGAGATGGAAACAGCTGCTGCTAACACCTTCATCTACCCTGACACAGAACCCATCTGCGCCCCCAAGACTCCCTCAAAACCTTCCAATGACTAACAACAACAGCCGTGTTGACGGCTTGCTGTGGGCCAGGCGCTGTGACAAGCACTTTACAAGAGAGACATCAATTCATTTTCATAAGCACTCAATGCAGCTGTAAGATACACAGTGGACAAACACAGCTACAAGACACACAAGATCGCTCCACGTACTCTACAGCTGAGAACTCTCGCTACCCTCGGAAAACTGTTCAAAGGTAGATCATTTCTCCCTTGGAAGGGGAAACTAAAGTTTAGCATTCAAAGCCTCCCACCACATGGCTTACCTTTCCTCCCAATCCTATTTCCTATTCCCCACACATCCGTGCCCTCCAGCGAGCACATCAGCACTCCGTTCCCCAAAGATACTTGGGCTTCCTAACACACCAGCTCCGCTCGTGCTACGCCTGCTCTGGAAAGCAGTTTTTGTCTCCGCTGCACCCTTGCTGGATCTGTCAACGCCTTTCAGTCAATCACAGCACCTGTGCCATTGGCACCCCGATAAGTAATCGTGCCCACATAAAATCATTTGACCTCAGATTTACAGTCGACTGTGTTCCTGCCTTGTCTCCCCTGTGAAAGTGTAAGCTCCGTAAGAGTGAGGACCGCGCCTAACTCATTTTTTTTTTAAGATTTATATATTCATTTACACAAAAGCCGGGGTACAGGCCAGATGCGCAGGAGAGTGAGAAGATTCACCAGAGACAGAGCAGGGAACAGAACAGGCAGACTGATGAAATACACTGCTGAGGGGAGCAGCGGGGAGACAGGAGAGGTCTGCTGTGCCCTGTGGGACCCTCGCCGCCCAGCCGGGATCGAACCCGCGCTGCAGACGCTGCGGACAGCTTCACAGCGTGGCGCTCAACCGCCTGCGCCACCAGGGGCGGCCCTAACTCATTTTTTTAATCCTACACAAAGTCTACCAAACAGAATGCCTGGAATGTAGGAGGTGATCTGCAAATATCAAGAGAGATAACCAGAGGAAAGCAAACAAGCTGGCAAGGGTGCTTACCTGAGAGGTTGAGGCATCAAAACCGCCACTGACATTTCCACTACAATCTTCACAAGAGAAGTGTCTTTCTCTGTTAACAGCGCTGCGAGACAAGAAAGAATTTAAGAGACAATGTCCAGAAGCACCAATGCGCCCATGTGAGCCCATCACACGTCCCCTCCACCACTAACACTCGGGCTGTTGGGGAGCAACTTAGCACTTTCAGGACTCAGTTTTCTCCACTATAAGATTAAGAGACTGTCTCTGTGAAATCTATCCTCGTTCAAATTCTTTGACATAATTCCATACAGCGTTTGGCCAGCTGACATTAAGCCCAATAGGGTCTTCAGTCCGAGTCGATACTGGAAGTGTTCTGGGGTGCCTGTCCGTGGGCCAGAATGTGAAGCAGTGGACCCCAGAAGCCACTTCCTCCAATCCCTGGAAGTTAAATCCCTAGGAAGCTCCTGCATAGCTCGCTGAGAATTCATCTCCAATAAAGGCAGGGCTGAGGCCGGTGTGGCGGAAAAGCCAGGTTGGGTAACTACTTACAAGAAAGATTTTGAGTATTGTCTTTCCTGAATACCTGAGGTGAGTGGTAGAGCCAGAGATTTAAAGATAGAGCAGAAGATTTCCAAAGGGAGCAAGGCCTGCCTGGAGAGAAAGCAGCCGATCACCACCACCTACATCTGGAAAAGGTTTGTGGCCTGAAGTCAAACATCTTTAAGTAGTTCCAGTTTTTCATTTGCTTGTTTTTGTTTTTAGCAGAATATAGAACAGCCCTTCAAAAAGATTTACTTACCAACCAGAGTGCTTCATGGCGTCAAGTAAAAGTTTGACATACGGATCTAAAAAGACATTGACTCAATTCAGTATGCTAATTGGGAAAAACAGGGCCAATTAAATTATCCAAACAGTCTGAGATATTATCAAGACATAACTCACAAATCTTATTTAAATAATGTGATCTTAAAGTTGGTAAAAATGGTTATGAAACACTCACATATACCAAGAGGGCTACGGCCCGACACTTTAGATGCTATCAACTGTGCTTTTAAAGGTCATTTTCAGTGAAGCGATCCAGCACACTGCACTAAAGTAGATACCAAAAGATCGAGGTGATTTGAAGCCACATCCGAGAAACGAACAGCAGCTTGGTGTCCAGATGAGAGGAAGCCCCGCTTACTGGTCAGTCCCCGCCAGGAACACTGGCCCATCCCGAGTACCACTCTCTTAAACAAGACCTGCTGACCGAAGCTCCGTGACAGGGGAAGGCAGCTAGAAGAGCAGGGGACCATGTTCGGCAGAAAGCAAGAAAGGGGGCTCCCTGGGGGCGCTGAGGTTAAGCGTCAGCACTGTGAAGCTGCCCGCAGCCTCTGAAGCACGAGTTCAATCCCCAGCCAGGGAGCTGCCCACAGGGCGCAGCAGACCTCTCCTGTCTCCCCGCTGCTCCCCTCAGCAGTATACTTCACTAGATCTGCCTGTTTTGCTCCCCACTCTGTCTCTGGTGACTCCTCTCACCCCCACCACACACCTCTGGGCTGCACCCCAGCTGTTGTGTGCATAAATAAACAAATCTTTAGAAAAAGAAAAAAGAAAGCAAGGAAGGATTTGTAGATTTGGAAAAAAGGAAAGAAAACTTAACTAGGAGCACAGCAGTCCCAAGTATTTGTAGGGGTGCCAGGTGGGCACAGACTCCACCAGTACTTCCTCAGGGGCAGAGCAAGGACCAAACAGCAGAAGTAACATGGGCCAGATTTCGGGTCCGTACAAGAAATACTTTTTCCAGCAATGAAAACTGGTGCCAAAATAGACCAGTAGCCTCAAAGGGCCTCGTGGAACAGGGAGCCTGTTTCAAGAGAGGTTTGTCAGTTCTCTCTGGCCAGTGAGGGCCCAGAGGCTAATGTGCCCTACGTGGGTGGACAGGCCCGGGTGACTCCTGAAGACCCTTCCTCTGCCGAGGGTCTAGCACCTGGGACAACCACAGCAAAGTGCAAGAACCCAAATGCCTTTAATATCAACTTTGCACATAGGATCTTTTCCGAGAGGCGCACAGGAAGTCACATGACCCAGCCCCAAAAAGAAAAGGAACCTGGTGGCACAAGGGATTGAGCACCGCACTATGAGGCCATCCGGGCCTCTGCAGCACGAGTTTCAGCCCTAGCCAGGGAGCTACCCCCATGGCGCAGCAGACCTCTCCTGTCTCCCCGCTGCTCCCCTCAGCGGTGGATTTCAGTGGATCTGCCTGTGCTGCTCCCCACTCTGCCTCTGGTGAATCCTCTCATCCCCTGGATCTCTGCCCTGTACCCCAGCTCTTGTATGCATCAATAAATAAATCTTTAAAAAAAAAAAAAAGGAAAGCAAAGCAGTTATTTAGAGCACTAAAGGCAAAAAAAGAGGAAAGTAGTGGGGGAAGAAATGCAGGTGTGGCTGCTGCTGCGTCAACCCGCGCTCTGAAGAAGGCTCGCCCCAAACAACCATCGCTGATAGCAAGTGTTCCTGCCGCATCACCGGGCGCCCTGCCGGGGCGCTGCTCCTCGGGCGGCCGCAGGAGCTCTGCCGCTTGCAGCGGGTTTGAGGGTCTGCAGACCCCGCCCTGAAACGCTGGGGTTTGTCCGGGGAGCACCGCGGCCCGGCGCCCCCGGCGCCCCGGCGCCCCCAGACGTGCTTCGAGGAAGAGAAAACCAAGGTCTCCCCAGCGCTCCCGCCGCCCTCGCCGAGGGGACCCCGGAGGGGACCAGCCGGCCGCGGCCGCGCCCGGGCCCACGCCCGCCCGGGGCGCTGCGGGCCGCGGGGTCCCAGGGGCCTGCGGGGCCCGCCCCCCGGATCCCCCCGGCCCCCCGCCCCCCCCACCCCGCGCAGCAGCGGGAACGAAACCAAAACGGACGCGCGCGCCGGTGCGCACAGGGAAGACGGCGCAGGAACCACAGACACACAGGGACCCCCGAGCACAGCGGCGGCCCCGGGCGTCCGGCCCACGGCCCTGGGGCTCCCCCCACACCCGGGCCCCCCACCGGGGCCCGAGGAGGGGCGCCCCGACCCCCACGCCCCTCCACAGCGGCCGCGGGGGTCCCGGCCCCCCCGCGCCCCCCGCCGCCCCCGGCCCCCCCGCGCCTACCGCCCCCCCGGCCCCCCGGCCCCCCCCCGACCCCCGGGGCCGACCCCCCGGCCCCCCGTCCCCCCCCCCGGCCTACCGGCCTGCACCGTCCTCCGCAGCAGGCGCGGGCAGCGCGCGCCGGCGCCCAGCGGGCCGGGCAGCAGCCCCCGGGGACCCGGGCCCGGCGCCGGCCGCTCGGCGGAGGCTCCGCGGGGCGCGCGCGGCGGCGGCGGCGGCTCCCCGGCCCCGGGGCCCTGGGGGTGCGCGTCCCGAGCCCCCGCCATGCGGGTCAGCGGAGCCGGGCGCGCCCTTCCGCCCGCCGGGGGGCGGGGCGGGCGAGGGGCGGGGCGGGGCGGGGCGGGGCGAGGGGCGGGGCGCAGTGTTGGGTGGGGGCGGGGCGGAGAGCTGGGCGGGGCGAGGGGCGGGGCGCAGTGTTGGGTGGGGGCGGGGCGGAGAGCTGGGCGGGGCGAGGGGCGGGGGGAGGGGCGGGGCGCAGTGTTGGGTGGGGGCGGGGCGGAGAGCGGGGCGGGGCGAGGGGCGGGAGCTGGGCGGGGCGGGTGACGGGCGAGGCGGGGAGAGGGCGGGGCGTGGTGAGGGGCGTGGCTATAGACGGGGCGGGGCGGGGCGGGGCACCGTGTCCCCCGGGGGTACGGGGAGCCCGAGCGTCCCCGCTGCTGAGGTGTAATTTTTTTTTTTTTAAAGACTTTTTTTTTTTTTTAAAGACTTTTTTTTTTTTTTTTGATAGAGGCATGCTTTATTTATTTGTTTGCTGGTTTGTTTGTTTGTTTTGTTTATACATGCACTGGGCACAGTCAGAAGCGCGGGAGGGTGAGAGAATTCACCAGAGCCAGAGCGGGGAGCAGAGCAGGCAGAAGGACCGAAGGACACTGCTGAGGGGAGCAGCGGGCGGCAGGAGAGGTCTGCGCGCCATGTGGGACCCTCCTCCGGTGGCCGGGGAGCAGCCGGGGATCGAACCGGCGCCGCAGAGGCCGCGCGCAGCTTCGCAACTCAGCGCTCAACCGCTGCGCCACCGGGGAGGCCCTGAGGTGTAATTTTTGATTAAATCCGCCCCGAGGCCTCTTTTATTCGCAGATCTCACTGACTTGCCGGGCGCCGACGTGGCTGTAGTTCGGGGAGCACGTGTGACGTGTCGCCGTCACCCCCCAGCGAAGCCCCAGCCCCGCCCTGCCCTGCGGTCCCCCCTCTCGGGCGCGGGTGTCGGGGCGCGCCCTCCGCGGGGCGGGGAAGCGCCGGGCCCGCCTCGCCTGCGCGCGCTCCCGCAGCCGCGCCCGGGGCTGCCGCCCCCCCCCGGGGCTGACCGCGGGGCGCGCGGGGTAACGGGGGGGGCGCGGGGGGTCCCCGAGGACGGGGAGGCGCGGGGGGCTGCGCGCGGGCGGTCCCCGGGGAACGGGGGGCGCGGGGGGCTGCGCGCGGGCGCGGGGGTCCCGGGGAACGGGGGGCGCGGGGGGCTGCGCGCGGGCGCGGGGGGTCCCCGGGGAACGGGGGGCGCGGGGGGTCCCCGAGGACGGGGGCGCGCGCCCCTGCGGTTCGGAGCAGTTGGGGGGCCGCGCGCTGCGGGGTTCGGGCGCGCGGGGGAGACGGAGTCCCCAGGAGCAGCGTCCCCGCGGGTCACCGCGCGCCCTGGGCGCGAGGCCGCCGGCTGCGGGGTGCGGGGTGCGGGCGGCCCGGGGGGGCTCCTGCTGCTGCCTGTGGCCCAGGTCTCTGGGTTTCGGCCTCAGTGACTCTTTTTTAAGATTTATGTTATTTTCGCACGAGCCGGGCGCGGGCCTGGGGCAGGGCCGGGGAGGCCCCACCGGGGACCCAGCGGGGAGCAGGACCGGCCGCTGGACGGAACCCGCTGCCGGGGGAGCGGCGGGGAGCGGCGGGGGCGGGGGTCTGCCGCGCCCTGGGGGTGGCTCCCCGGCGGGCGGGGGGGGCGGGGGGCGCGAACCCGCGGCGGAGGCGACGGACGGCTCCCTGCGCCGCGCGCCCGCCTGCGCCACCGGGGAGGCGCTGCCCTAGTTACTCCCGAGGGACCCCGTTCCTCATCCTCGGCGCCCGGGGGTGCCGGACTCGGGGCCCAGATCAGTCACCAAGGCCCCCCGGCCTCGCCCCTCCCCGGCCCCTCGCTCAGCCTCGGCGCAACCGGCAGTTCCCAGCGTTGGTGATAACGTTTCTCCGTGCCTGACCCTTTCTTTCTTCTATAAAATGTGCAAAATTTTAAAAGGAAAAGGTAAACGAAGCCGGTACCCCACCACCCCGGGGTCATCTCGCATTTTCATGCTCTGCCTGGCGGCTTCCTTCTCCGCAGAAATGGTTTTCACGTAGGTCAGCAGATTTGGGGAGGGCCCTTGTGTCTGCTTGTTTTCATGTATAATTATATTTTTCATATCTATGGTAAAATTCCGTTACTAGAATCTTAGCAACACAACCCGGGCCTGAAGCCGCCCCGGCGGCTGCTGGTCGTGGGCCCGAGAGGCCGAGGCGGTGGACGCGGGCTGAGGCAGCTCTTTCAAGGAGTTCGGCTGCGGAGGAGAAGGTTGGTAGCCGGAGGAGAATGGCCAGTGCAAGGAAAACGTTGGGATTTGGGGGAAAATGGTAGAAATGAAAAGATCATCCCAGGAGAGAGGCTGACTGGCCGGGTGAGTCGCTCAAGAAAGAGAAGGTGACGCCATAGATGGGGCCCACAAGCCGGGTGAGCTGGGGGGCAGAACTGGGAGCCAGGATGTCAAGATCAGATGCATGTAAGGGTTAAACAACTGTTCCAGACTGGTGAGAGAGCAGCCACAGTATATATAAATGGACAATAGGCAGATTCAGTCAAATTAGAAATAAATATAAATAGCATGTTCAATGCCTACTGCATTGGCGAGGATTAGAAAGAAAATAATGTTTTGGCCAAGGGCTCAGTACACAGGTGCTGCAGGTGGGAATAGAAATTGGTGCATCTGCCGGCCCTCCCTGGTGGCCCAAGGGTTAAGTCTCAGCACTGAAGCTGTCCACAGCCTCTGCAGCACGAGTTCGATCCCAGGCCAGGGAGCTACCCACATGGCGCGGCAGACCTCTCCTGTCTCCCCGCTGCTCCCCTCAGCAGTGTGTTTCAGTCAATCCGCCTGTTCTGCTCCCCACTCTGCCTCTGGTGAGTCCTCTCACACACACACCCGCGCACGTTAACTCTCTTTTTATCTGATGCTGCAGGTGCTAGTGACCCCATGCTTGAGCAGACAGGCCCCCTTTGCTACCACATGGAGACTTGCCTAACATGGAAGCTAAAGAAGGCAGCCTGGAAGAAAGAAATCACGTCCTGATGACATTATCTGAGCCCAGGGATCTTGACATGCCTGCAGATTAGCTTCACCTCTGAGCTGATGTTAAATGAACCAGTAAACTCTCTTTTATGCTTAGACGTGGCTTTATCTGGATTTTTCTCACTTGCTACAGAATCCTACTGTAGGTATCCATCATTGAATCAACATGACTTCTGTTTCCTCTATGCTTTATTTTAATGTACTGCTCGGCAGTATATTCTACAACCCCAGCCTTAATCCCAATAGTATTTTAAGAGTTCTTCATTATTGTTTGCTTGTTTTGGAACTAAGCAAAATTATTCCACATTCACTGAGAGAGAAAAAAAATATTAAAATATCACAAAATGGGAGGGGAAGAATTCATAAAAGGCTTATGTAAAATCATATATTACAATATATGATGGCAAGAATAATAAACATAGGGTGGTAATGGAGTAGAGACAAACAGACATGGAACAGAATTCAAAGTCTGCGTGTATACAGGAGTATTTACTACATTGAACATGTGGTAAATTAAGAAAAGACTAAGGCAATAAAGTATGAATTAAGGGACAATGACCTAGACTTGGGGAGAAATGTAATTAGATCTTTACCTTATTTATCACCTCAGGAGAACTCCAAATGGATTTATGACTTATAATATTGAAGCCAGATTCTCAAAACATACTGGTTAGCATGTAATTGGTATAATCCTTAGGAATTTATCTGCTAAATTTTAAAATATTAATGCCTTTGACACAAATTTTCAACTATAAAAATTTCTCCAACAGAAACACAAACTATACCTATAAAGGGATAGAGAGAGAGATAGACAGAGAGACAGACAGATAGATAGATAGAGATAATAGAGCTTGGGAATATCAAAAGTAATAGACACATGTTGATAGCAAAGGTATAGAATATCGCTCTACGCCATACAGTCTCAAAGGGGTGACATCATAACCAAGCATGTGAAAATTTGTTCTTGGGGGAGAGGAGGACCAAAAAATCTTACTTTCTATGTATAAAGCACAGCTCTGCGCACCGTACATTCACAGATGTATAGTCTAGATGTGATTGAAATTTCACGGAGGGGAATGATTAAGAAAAAGTCTTGGGGCCTCCCTAGTGGCCTAGGGATTAAGTCTCAGCGCTATGGCCACAGAGGCCTGAACTCCATCCCCAGCCAGGGAGGTGACCACAGGGCGCAGCAGACCTCGCCTGTCTCCCCGCTGCTCCCCTCAGCAGTGGATCTCAGTCAGTCTGCCTGTTCTGTTCCCCACTCTGTCTCTGGTGAGTCCTCTCACCACCCCCCACCCCTGCACCTCTGGCCTGCACCCCAGTCCTTATATGCATAAATAAATAAATAAATGTCTTCAAAGTCTCCTTAGGGAGATAATAGTCGGGGAGGGGGGAGGGAACTGGAGAAAAACTGATCTGTATAATTCATTATCATGCAACTGTTAAAACAAAAAAATGAGGTAGCTGTATGTATAGTGACAAAAGAGTATCCCCAACATGCAGGAAGTTTTAGAAAAAGTTAGCTATATATATGTAAACTGTATACATAATACATACCGTATATATGAAGTCTTAATGATGTTCCTTTTGGGAGTTAAAATTACAAGATCATTCAGTGCTGTTTAGTATGATGTTTACATTTTTACAACAGTGTTATAAGATAAACTAAGAATAAATAGCAATTGAGGCGAATATTTTCATAGTCTTGTGAAGAAAGGACTTTTTAGATATGACTTCAAGTCCCAAAACTATTAAAGTTTAGGTTAAGCTACAAAAATGTTTTAAATTACTATATGGGAAACATACACACATAGGACACACCATAAATGAAATTGATGCAATGAGTCGAGAGAAAATATTTGCAACATAGATGAGAAAAGGTGTATGTCATTCATACACAAAGAGTTCTTACATGTGGACAAAAAAGGTGCAACACCCTAACAGAAATCCTGGTAAAGAACATGAACAAAGAAATAATAGTCACCCCATAGATGACTAACAAGCATATGAAAATATTTTTATTCTTGCTAATTAAGAAATACAGGTAATCCCAACAATGACATAACATGTTCTCATTAGGTTAGCAAAGCAACACAGGCTGGTGTTGGCAGAGAGAGAAGCTACAGCACTGTCAGTATTAAAATGTGATCTGGGGCCTCCCTGGTGGCGCAAGGGGTTAAGACGCAGCCCAATGAGGCCCTCTGCAGCCACTGCAGCACAGCTCGATCCCCGGCCAGGGAGCAACCCACAGGGCGCAGCAGACCTCTCCTGTCTCCCTGCTGCTCCCCTCAGCAGTGGGTTTCAGTCGGTCTGCCTGTTCTGTTCCCCACTCTGCCTCTGGTGAATCATCTCACACTCCGCATCTCTGACCTGTACCCCAGCTCTTGTGTGCATAAAAAAAATAAATAAATCTTTAAAAAAAAAAAACTTTCTTTAAAATGTGATATGGGGGGCCTCCCCGGTGGCACAGCGGTTGAGCGCTGGGTTGAGAAGCTGCCCGCGGCCTCTGCGGCGCCGGTTCGATCCCCGGCTGCTCCCCGGCCACCAGAGGAGGGTCCCACATGGCGCGCAGACCCCTCCTGCCGCCCGCTGCTCCCCTCAGCAGTGTACTTCGGTCCTTCTGCCTGCTCTGCTCCCCGCTCTGGCTCTGGTGAATTCTCTCACCCTCCCGCGCTTCTGACTGTACCCAGTGCTTGTATAAATAAATAAATAAATCTTTAATTTAAAAAAATGTGATCTGCATTACTGTCATCAGCAGGAATACTTCAGGAATGTCTCCCAAGTGATAAAAAAAAAAATGCATGTATAAGAATGTTCATTACAATATAAAAAGTTAGAAAATAATTGACATAAATAAGATACTAACTGTACTTTTGAGAAAACTTCAGCTCATACATAAAAACCCCACTAAGAAGGTCCAGAAAGGTATTTTTATATTTTCTTTTCTTTCCATGCGCTAATCTACGCTTCCCACTTTAAAAAACAGTGATTAAGTCTTTTCCAATAATAAAACCCATTTAAATGACAAAAATCAAAATGAACATGCATGTGAACAGCCTGTTGTGTACAGAGAAGGCCACATGCAAGTTCTTTAGAGCCTCCAGGTTAAATTAAAATCTGCAAAAAAATAATCTTTCAATTTTCTTTTTTTTTTCCTTCACACATTATTGCCATAACTGTGCATTGGGTTAAAGGGATTAGCAAGTGTCAATCATTCCTCCACTTAATAACTACTTTGACTTTCTGGGGCTATTTTCATATAAAATATTAAATAATGTTTGTGTCTCAAAAGTTCCACCCCAGGGCTTCATTGTTCTCTAAACTTGTCCTGATACGGCCACTGCGAGCCGCCTTGGCTACCAAGCACTTAAAATGTGGTTAGTCTGATTGAGATGTTGAAAAAGAATTAAACGTTTCTCTTTTTTTTTTTTTTTGTTTCTCATTTTAATACTGATTATATGCTGAGATGATATTTTAAATCAAATATACTTTTTTTATATTTCTTTTTTTATATTTCTTTTTTTTTATGTATATTTTTTTTAAAGATTTATTATTTATTTATTTATACAAGCACTGGGTACAGTCAGAAGCGCAGGAGGGTGAGAGAATCCACCAGAGCCAGAGCGGGGAGCAGAGCAGGCAGACTGACGAAGGACACTGCTGAGGGGAGCAGCGGGCGGCAGGAGAGGTCTGCGCGCCATGTGGGACCCTCGCCGGTGGCTGGGGAGCAGCCGGGGATCTAACCAGCGCCGCAGAGGCCGCGGGCAGCTTCACAACCCAGCGAGCTGAAATCTAGGTGTTGGCAGGTCTCTGTTTCTTTCTGGAAGTTCTAGGGGAGAACGTGTTTTCTTGCTGGTGCAGGTACCTGCAGAACTCAGCCCCACGTCCCCGGCCACCTGTCATCTGAGCACTGTCGCCGGCTTCTGGGCGCTCCTGGCCCCTTCCTCCATCTGCAGAGCGCGGGGTAGGTTCCTTCTTATACTTGGCGTCTCTCCTGCTTCTTTGCGGTCCAGTCGCTCTGACTCATTTTCCCGCCTTTCTCTTCTTCCCGAGACTCAGGTGCTGACCTTAGGCCCATGCGGCTAATCCAGGATAATCTCCCTGTGTTGAGGCTCATTACCGTAATTCCCCCTGCAAAGTCTCTTTTACCATCTACCTTGCCACATCCTCCCGGCGAGAGAGTGACGCCTTAGGGGACCCTAGTTCACCTGACGCACCCTTCCCTCCACATCCTGTGCCGCCCGCTCCACTGCAAGCCCGCAGCAGGCCAGGCTGGCGACTGGCCCCGCGGCAAAGAGTAAAAACGAGGCAGAGTTTGTCCTCGACAGCTTCCAAGTCTTCTTGTCTCTAGCTGATGACGTAGCGTCAGCCCCTACTTAAGCCTCAAGACACTTGGGCCCCCATAGCACCCCACTCCACATGCTCCTTGGGCGGGGCTGTGACCCTCATTTACCTCTCCGCTGCTTAAAAAAAATACAGCTCTAGGCCCTCCCTGGTGGCGCAAGGGGTTAAGATGCAACCTATGAAGCTAACCGCAGCCTCTGCAGCACGAGTTCGATCCCCGGACGGCCACGGAGCTACCCACATGGCGCAGCAGACCTCTCCTGTCTCCCCGCTGCTCCTCTCAGCAGTGGATTTCAGCAGACCCGCCTGTTCTGCTCCCCGCTCTGTCTCTGGGGAATCCTCTCACCACACCCCCACCTCTGGCCTGCACCCCAGCTCTTGTATGCATAAATACATAAATCTTTAAAAAAAAAAATAAAGCTCTCTATGACCCAGAAAGCCCACACTGGGGATCTGCCTGAAGAAGCAAAGACACTAATTCAAAGGGCCGGGCGGCTGGCGCGTGCCCTCGGCAGCACCATCTGCAACAGCCACGTCACAGAAACGACCTAAGACCCAGAGCAGGTGCGTGGATTAAGAAGATGTGCGCGGACACACGGGGTGCTGCTCCGCTGTGAGAGGGAGGGAGACAGAGGAGAGAGATGAATTCCTGCCGACTACAGCCATGTGGAGGGAACAGGTCGGGATGGTGCCGAGTAAGCAGAGGAGCCAAGGCTGGGTTCGCTCCTCCGTGGAACACAGAGAAAGTCACAGTCAGGCCAGGCCACGCCGAGACAAACTAGACACCTGCGGCCAAGCTCCGACTCCCGGAGGG